TGCAACTTGGTTGGAAACTTTGGGCTTGTATTCTATTTTGTAATCAAATCTCAGTAATTTATACAGCCATTTTTGTTGTACTGGAATTTGCACATGTTGCTCCATCAAATGCTTCAAGTTGCAATGGTCAGTCCAAATTATAGAAGGCCTACCATGCAAGTAAATCCTACATTTCTGAATAGCCAGGACCACAGCCATTAACTCCGTAGGTGGATTTGAAGCTGGGCTTGGGCTGATAAGGCCTTGCTAAAATATGCAATCAGTGTTCCTTGTTGCATCAAGACAGATCCTATACCAGTAGCTGAAGCATCACACTAGACTATAAATTCTTGGGTGAAGTCTGGAAGAGTCAAAGTGGGAGGGGAGGCAACCGGACTTTTGAGGGTCTGCAAAGCCTCCTCAGATTCTAGGCCCCACTGAAACCCATTCTTATTTAACTGTCAGGTTAAAAGGGTAGCTATCAGACCATAATTCCTTATAAACCGCTTGTAATACCCAGTAAAGCCCAGAAAGCCCCTAAGACAGCGGGCTGTGATGGGCTTGGGCCAATTGATCATACTCTCTCTGCCTCTATAATATGCCCAAGGTAGTGCACCCTATTCTGCCCAAACATGCATTTGAATTCCTTGGCAAACAGCTAGTGCTGGCTAAGAGTTTGGGGGGTCACCCAAAGATGGTCAATATCAGACACTCAATCTCGGCTATAAACTTAGGATGTCATCAAAGAATACTAGGATGAACCAGCACAAGAAGGGCCTAAAAATCTCATTCATGAGGCTCTGAAAGGTCAAAAGAACATTGGTCAAACCAAATAGCATGACCACAAACTCATAATGTCCATAATGTATAGGGAAGGTCGTTTTGTGTATGTCTTCAAGATGCACCCTTATTTTATAGTAACCAGACCCGAGGTCCAATTTATAGAAAACCATAGCTCCCTTGATTTCATCAAGTAACTCGTCAACCATCCAAATTCGATACTTATCCTTAACCGTGATAAGATTGAGCGTGTGGTAATCCAAACAAAATCTCTAACTCCCATCTTTCTTCTTGACAAGGACTGGAGTTGGGTTGCATAAGCCCTTTCTGAAGGAGGTGCATGATTATATTCTCTATCTCAGCCTTTTGGTACTGTGGGTATTTGTAAGGCCGTACGTTGGGCAGGGCTGCTCCAGGTAGGATAGGAATATGGTGGTCTTTGGTTTCACATGGGAGGGAAGTCTACAGGTTCCCCAAAAATGTCCTCCAATTTTGTCAACAGTTCTTGAAGAGCCTTCATCTCATTACTAGTGGGTTGAAACCTAAGATGGGAAGTGAGAGTGGGCTTTACTTGTTCTAGCCCAAGATAAATGAGTAGGGATGAGTCCATACAGTGAAAACACTTGAGCACTTCTTGACTCTTCCAGCTTGGGAGTTGTTGGGCCAAAGCCCTGTAGGCGGTGGGATTTGCCATTGATAGTGAAATCCATGGTTAAATTTTTCCCTAGTCACATGTTATAGGTCTTAGCTAGTTCATCCACTTGACACCAAGCACCATGTCAGCACTCCTAAACTTTAGAAGATGTAAATCTACAGTTAGTCAAACCCTTACACAACCAATTCAACCCCCAAGTAGATCCCTTCACATATGATTTTGTGTCCATTAGCAACATGAATAGGGAAGGCCTTAATGGGATGCACCGCTAGGGCCAACTATTGGGCTCTAAGTCAAGTAATCAGGTTGACTGTGCTGCCACTATCCATCAATATGGATACGAGTCGGCCCATAATCTGGCCTTTTACCCGCATAGTTTTAAAAGAAACCCTGATTAGTGCATGGAGTGAGATTTTAGGTGTATCTTCTTGAGACGGTTCCATGGAGTCTTCGAGCGGTTGCCTGTCATCTTCTTCCTCTAGTTGCGAGAGGTATAGCTGAGGGTTCTTACAACAATGCACTAGGCTAAACTTTTCACCACACTTGTAATAGAACTTACGCTCACAACAGGATTGCATTTCCAACCAGGATAACTTCTTCGAGGGAATGCTTGGTCCAGTTCCAAAGGTCTTTCTAGCGGTAGTATCAAATTGAGGTGGGGATGTTTTGAGGATAGGGCCTTGGGAAAAAATGAATTTCCTTCGTCTGTTCAATCGTTCCTCATGGAGCCTGGTCAAGTTAGTGGTGGCCATCATTGTTGTCGGTTGTAGAGTCTTGAGTCTTGACTTCGATCCTTATGTCTTCCCTTAACCCTTCACAAAATATCCAACTAGAGCTTTCTTTGGACACCCAAAACCCTAGAAATTAGCTTTTCAAAATCATTTTGATACTTTCTTACATTCCCAGTATGGCAGATCTTGGAAAGGGTCTTGTCAAAATCATCAAAACCAAAGGGACCAAATCAGGCACAAAGGTCTTCTATAAATTCCAACCAAGGAATTTGAGGGTGGGTTTTTCTATACCACTAAAACCAAAGAACAACCTCACCTTCTAGATAAACAAAGGCTATTGACCTCTTTGAAGATCGGGGATCTCAATAATTTCAAAATACCTCTTGGCTCTAAAGATCTAGGATACAGGGTCATCCCTTGAAAATGTGGAAAAATCCAAATTCAACGTCCAAGTGGTGTGGCCTTCAAATAAACAGTTGTTTCCATGGCTAGACCCCTTAGATTTGTTATCTTGATTACCAGTTGAAGTCATCCTCTCATAGTGGGAAGCGACTACAAACAATGTTTCCTTCTCCTCTAGATCAGCTAAGATGTGCAGTATCTCCACTTCCAGCCTCTCGACGCATTCATCCATTGATGCAGACCTGGTCTTGGCTATTTTCCAATAGCTTGGTGAAACCAAGCGAAGAGGCTCTGTGGGTTACTACCCACCACAAGGGATCTTCAAGGGTCCCTACCTCTTGAACAAGAAAGAAAATAGAAAATGTCTTAACAAAAATGGTGATAGTCTCGTGGCTGAAATCATCACACTTGTTGGCAGGTTACTCCTTTGACGACTTAAGGAGAAACTGGGCAGCAGTGGCTTCTATGGTCTCCACAAAGAACAAATTACAAGCTGAATGGGAATCCCCACCGGATGGAGTGGTAAAACTGAATTTTGATGGTAGCTGCCTAGGTAACCTAGGGCCATCCGGAATAGGAGGGATTCTGAGAGACAAAGACAGCAACATGTTGTCTTTATTTTCAGGACCAGTGGGTGTTGGTGATTCTGTAAGGACAGAGATATTAGCAGCAGTACAAGGTATACAGATGGCCAGTCAACTTGGGGTGAACAATTTGATAGCAGAAGGGGATTCCAAGTTAGTAGTGGGCTGGCTGACAAGTCCAGAAACAGCTTGTTGGGGCTACAGTGATCTGTTAAAGAAAGTTAAATGGCTGACAAGAAATATGACTGTCAGGTTTCAGTGGGTCAGCAGATCAGCAAATGCAATGGCTGATTCTCTGGCCAAGCAAGGGGTGTCAAGGGGAGATCTGTTTTGGGCTACTTTGTAACTGTGTTTCAGGCTTGTGTATGTTTAGTGTTTATGGTTCAGTCTTCGGGGGAGGTAACACCTCGTGCCTCCTCCTAGGCTGACTGTACTTTCGTTATTTGATTTAATAAAACTACTCTCATTTATCAAAAAAAAAAAAAAACGGTGATACACCTCTTAGTTGGCATTCTCTCTATTTATAGTGGCTTTACAACTTTTATTCTTAACAAGAAAAGTGCATGAGCTCAAGGTTGGCACAGGTCACATGTCTTCATCATGTATACAAATTTGACAGGTGGGCCTGGGCTTCTCAGTGTAGGATGAGACCCTTTGCCTTGAGTCCTCAACTGTGTTTCCTGGATTGGTGGACTTGGGATCCTATACGCACCTTTCTTTTCTTCTTTTGGACAAAACACCCCTTCTTTTTCTTTATTCCCTAAGTTTTTTTTTTCAGCTAAGACAATCTCTTCTTCTTCTTTTATCCTTCTTTTCCTAGGAAAAAACTAGTGGTGCAGCCTCTATTTTTCTAAGTTTTCTTTTCTTGTTTTTTCTTCTCATAAATATGTTAATTTTCTATGTTTTGATATGAAGCTTATTCTTATTTTATGAAGATTATTGGTAATTATTAGTGAAGGACGATTGGTGGTTGCTATAAAAGATGGGGAATTTTCCTGGGATTTAAATTTTTTTATTAAAAAAAAAATATCATCTAGGTGTAAGGTGCTCCCCTATTGCACAATTTCACCTTGGTGTCTTGACAACTATGACCAATATATTTGTATAAAAAACATTTAATTGTTCAAAAACAACTAATATGCAAAAGGTTTCTCAAATTAAGATCTAGCTTATTTACACATTGAAAACACATGATGTTTAGCCAACCACTTTACATCATGTAATAAAAATAACTCATTTTGATTCCAACTATTGCAAAGAAAACATGGAGGGGGTCTCAGGTACAATTTGAATAAAACCACTAAAAGGTCTTAAAAACATGATCTGTTCAGATATATTAAATGAGGTGTGACAAATTTTAAATATTATATTAAAGGAACCTCAGTACAAGGCAAACACCATTTTCATAGAGATTTTTTTGAACAACGTGCATATCATAGGAGGTCTGAGAAATGTGTCTTACATTTCTTGAGGGATGAACTACCAAGGTTGAGAACTGAGGCATTTCCATTTAGGCTATGTTTGGTTTGAAGGAAAAGGAAGGGAAACCTATACAAGGTTTGTAAACGTTTCCCTACATTTCCCTTCCTTTCCTTACTTTTTCCTTCAAACCAAACACAGCCTTAAGGATAAGCCTCTCATAAACCTTTTAAAACATTGACAGGAGCAAAGACATTCTATATATATTTTTTATAAGTAAAAATAAGTATTTACTAAAGGTCAAAGAGAATAGGCATGACAAGCATCATAGGGGCACAAGATGCTACCTCTTACACAAACATCAAAAAATAGTATCAAGAATCAATAACAACTGAGCTCAATACTATATATATATGTGTGTGTGTGTATATATGAGAGAGAGAGAGAGATACTGACCATGTGAAGAATGGCAGTTGGGGGCGTGCTCATAAGTATGGCTTTCAGTAACAGCTCAGTGTTAGGACCAGATCTCATATTACTGAATCCATCATCAATGGCCTGGTATAGTTGAAACAGGCCTTCAACTGATAAGGTAAAATGTGGTTGGTAAATCCTTCTCTTCTGAGAAATCCTCAATGTAGAAAAAACTATATGTAGAATTGAATTAACCAATGGAACATTTTGCTTTATCAACTCCAAACCAATTATTAAGAGTTTGTGTAGATGAGATGAAAGCTCTGATAGCTGCTCAAAGGCATACTTTTGCAGCCACTCAATGATATTTCTGAATGAGATAACATCCTTAACTACCTACACACAAACAAGCAGGTTTTAGTAGAGAGATCTCATAATGATCAACAATTTTTCCATACAACAGGCAGAAAACAAAAATGATATAGAAAGATAATAGCTGCATAACCAAATCAACAAAAACCATAGCAAACCTTAGGAATTTGAATGGGAATATAAGCAAACTATGAGAGAAAACCCCGATATTTCTTGCCACAACAAAAGATCCAAAATATGTGCCAAAATTTAGGTAAAAACTACCAATGGAATTTCTTAAAAAAGAGCAAGAATCAAAAAACACTACATAGAAAATTGTAAGTATTGACAAAGTATTAGGAAAAAGGACAAGGGTAGAAGTAGTGAGAAATAACTTGAGGGTCTATTATTTAACAATGAATATGGCACCAAACAGAATGGAATGGTGGAACTAGATTCATGTAGCTAACCCCATATAATTGGGACAAGGCTTGTTTAAATTAAGAGTTCACAAAATATTAGCAAGAAGTATTCAAAGGCCAAATGATAAAAGGAACTCAGCTCAAGTTGTCATATATATGATACAATCAGTTGATTTGTACAACATTTGTATTCAATATTGTTAACTGCTAAACCTCTATATGCTATAAATACCAGATAATTCAAATATTTAAGACTAAGGCCAAGAATATAAGCTTAAAACAATTCTTGGAACCAGTTAGAGCCAAAGCCAAATTCCAACTGATTTTTTTGGTCAATAGTCCAACTGAAAATTTTAGGCAGGCATTAATAGTTGCTGTGACTTTTAAGTAGGTATTAAAAGTCAATAATCCATAACAAGGGAGAGATTGAGGAGAATTTTACCCATAGAACTAAACCAAGATGGGCAAAATAGATGGGTACATCCATAATCCTGTATGATAGGGGAATACCACTTAGGATAAACAGCTACAGGGTTAACGATGTTGTATGGAGCAAAGTGTTAGGGAATAGGAGGTGGGGCCGGAGTCTTGGTACCATCCTCAAAGGTATGGGGCAAAGGTGAGACAGAACTTCTCTTACAGAAACGCAGTCTCTGCAGGGGCTTGGCAAGGTTTCAGTGAAACAATCTTGAGAAAAGTGGGAGAGCGATGGCTTCTGGAAACTGAGAAAGGGGTTAATGGAGGGAGGGAGTGCCAGATAGATTGTTTAGTTGGAACTTTTGATAAAGGGGTTAGGGTTGAGGAAGTTGAGAGTTGGACGATGAGAATATGGGGGGAGGTGGGAGGAGTAAGGGTAAAAAAGCTGATTGAAGAGTTGTTCTTGTTCATCTTCCACTCGAGAGAAGAGGCGATCTGGGTGCTGAGAAATGGGACCTGGAACCGATCTTGATGTAGTTTTTGTGTTTTCTGTATGGAGAGGCAGCACCTCGTGCCTCTCTAAGGGGATTTTCATGTAACCAATCTTTGAATTAATGGAATATGACTCTTTACTTATCAAAAAAATGGGACAAAACTGGATGGTTATTGACTGGTGGGCAGCGAGTGCAGGATGCTTCTTCCCAGAAAGGAAGGGCAAGGTTATCTTACAGGATGAGGTTTGCATCAAGGTCTCCAGTTCATACCAAACTTCTTTATCACTTCACCAAATATACCAAACCATGCATGGGGGGACTGTTTAAGTCCATAAATGGCCTTCTTTAGTCTACACACCTTACCATCCTCCCCTTGAGCAACAAAGCCCGATGACTGCTCCATATAGACCTCCTCAAGGAGATCACCATGTAAAAAGGCATTCTTGATGTCAAGTTGAAAGAGAGGCCAATTATACATAGCAGCTAAAGATATCAAAACACGAACGAAACCAATTTAAAAACAAGAGAAGTCTCTGTGAGTCCATACCATATGTTTGGAAATAGACTTTGGCAACCAGTCGAGCTTTCAATCGCTATACACTAGCATCAGGTAAATACTTAACAGTGTATACCCACTTACAACCCACAACATGCTTACCAGGAGGGAGTGTGGTCAAATCCCACGTATGATTATGAGCCAAAGTTGAGAGTTCTTCTTCCATTGCATGGTGCCACCCTAGAGAGGCAAGGGCTTCCTGAACATCAAAAGGAACCAAAATAGAAGACAACGGAGAAACAAACTGATGATGGAAAGCAGAAAGGTGAAATACAAAAACACAATTAGAAATTGGATGAAGTGTATAACTGTGTTTATCTTTCCGCAAGGCAATAGGAAGATCAAGGTCAAAAACAGGAGGTGGAGCTGGTGGGGGGACAACTGTCGGATCTATCGATGGTGAAGAAGCTAGAGGAGGAGATGGTACATGTCGTCAATGCGTATTCACTTGGCGGATGGGTGGCCGTTCAACAAGAAGTTGCACTAGAGGCGAAGACTTAGTCACAACTGGAACAAGTGGGATGGGGTCCTCAACAGGAACTAGAAGAGGAGGTGAGGAAGAAAAAGAGACATCACCGGACCTAGGAAAAAAAACGGAACATATTCAAAGAAAGTAACATCAAGGCACATGAAGGAACGTCGAGAACTGGGATTATAACACTTATATCCTTTCTGGGTCTAGGAATAGCCAAGGAAGATACACTTGGTGGATTGTGCATCTAATTTGTCCACTCCAGGTCCAAGATTATGAACAAAACATACATACCCAAAAACCATGGGAGTAAGGGGAAAATGAGACAAGGTAGGAAACAAAGTGGTGAAAGGAGAATGACCTTTAAGGATGGGTGTAGGCATCCGATTAATGAGGAAACAAGATGTAAACACAACATCACTCCAAAAATGTTTGGGTACATTCATATGATGCAAAAAGGATAGAGCAGTTTCCAAAAGATGGCAGTTCTTTCTCTCAGCCACCCATTTTGCTGAGGTATATAGGTACATGAAGTTTGATGGATAATGTCATGTTCCAAATAACGAGAGTGTGGAAGAGATAAGCAGATCGAGCAGGAAAGGATTTGTTTGCAAGCTGGACTTGGAGAAAGCCTATGACTTAGTGGATTGGAATTTCCTGATGGAGATGTCGAGAAGACGTGGATTTGGGGATAAATGGTGCAATTGGATAAGAGGATGCTTAAACTCTTGTCGTTATTCAGTGTTGGTGAATGGGGTGGTTAAGGACTTTTTTCCAGCCAATAGAAGCTTAAGACAAGGGGATCCACTCTCCCCTTTCCTATTTACACTTGTTGCTGATGTCTTTAGTAGGATGATCTCCAAAGTAGATGAGGAGGGCCAAATAAAGGGATGGAGAATAGGGAGCAGAGGCATTCCAGTAACTCACCTTCAGTTTGCTGATGATATTGTTATTTTTTGTG